TAATAATTCCCACACATTTTTCCCTCTTATTCAAATAAAAAAGATTATGAGAAGATGCAACGGCCATGACAGGTGAGAAGGAACCCAATGAAAGAAAAAGAAATGGAAAATTCAATCAGACAAATGAATGAAAAGCATAGAAAAAAAGACGACACACTCACACTATTTTCTAGCCTAGATTCGTCTATTTATTCTAGTTCTCCCTGTAATTATTTATTCATATTTATATAGTTGTAAAATTTCCTCGAAACTTCGAGCTCAGCAGCAACTTCAGATTTGATAGAAACATAAGTGAGTTCTCGACCGACCGAATCCCTAAAGGCTGACACACAACGAAGAGAGATATAAGGAAGAAGGAAAAATTACCAGAGATATAAGGATTAAGGAAAAATTACCAGACGAGCGAGGATAAATAAGGAATAGGCTGTTTTGTCTAGCGTTGCAAAATTGATTTCGGTTCAAATGTACTAAATTTTTTTGTTTGATTTTCTTGCTGGAAAGAAAAAAGAAAGAAATGAAAAAAAAATAGGAAAATTCCAGCCGAAAAAATTTCTATTGAGTATATTCCAATCCAAACAGTCAAAAACGTAGAGTAACATCGACAGATATTCAATGGAATTATCTAGGGATTATAGCCCTAAAACCTATTAATAGCGATTGACGGCCGATAAAGTAGGATACATCTCCTCTCTCAGGCGAGAGATTTATTATCGTGTAGTTGGTGGATAGATTTTCGTGAGAAGCAGCAATTCGGGGAATTCTGTTACTATTTGGTTGTGTGTAATAACGGCGGAGATCATTGTAAGTATGAAATATTTCGCTTGGTGAATTAATACTCAATTTATTTCGAATGGAAATAGTGGTTGGATGTTGTGTGTAGCACTAATTATTAAATTATTTTAAATTATTAAACATATCAATAGAAACGGCCGAAAACTTATAGAAAATTCTATAAAAATCCAATAGAATTGTCTAGCGAATTCGCTAGGTTTTTCTATTAAATTTTGTCATGCGTGTCATTAATTTCTTCTCCCTTCGTCCGTTCTCCGATAAATAATTTAAAAAAATCAAATAAAATGTCTCATCAAAAACTCTAGGTTATTGTAGTAATTTTTTTCAAACCTGCTTTTATGGGAAGTACTGGACCGTGCCGCAATAGGTTCTGAATAAGGGAGTTTCTGATTCGTTTAAGGATGCTGGAACGAGACCTGCAATTGCATCACTGGCGAGCTTTTTCCGCGAAAACCTCAAACTAGGATGGAGTGTGAAATACAGATGAAATTCTTACAACTTTCTTCCAAAACTTTTTATATTTTCCAATATTTGGCCTCCTATTCCGTCATCAACTTATTCTTCTTATCATAGCCAATATCCTCTGCCTGTCGTATTTAGCATGTTCACCCATATCTTAAGATCTCTGGAAAGAATAAACAAAGTTTATTGGAAAATTCTGGAAAATCACAATGGGCTCCTTGATGAACATTGTATCTGAGCCTCTCTAGAGCCTTACGGCCGATGCACAATAGGGAAATATGAAAATGAAGGAACAACTAAACCACGCTCGCTTTCAATCTTGAAAATTACAGAAAAAATATCACATACTCACACTATTTTAATGCTGAGAAAGTTTTTGGAATTCCAGATCCTAATGAAATCATTTTTTTCTATTTATTGTCGATCAATTTTTCCTTAGGAGATGTCAAGATCAGCGGCAACTTCGGACGTAGTGAAAATAAAAGAGGTAGATTTAGGATCGATCGATTGAATCCATTTTTCGCATTTGAATGATTTTTTCTTTTCAGAAGGGATGAGAATACATTTTTAGGCTTTCAATGAAGATTTTCAACTAGGATTCCTTTTCTGTTAATTGGGCATGGTTTCAATCAGCTCACCTCATCAATGTCTTTGACATTTTTCCCATGAATTAGTAGATCATGCGATTATTGTAGAATTAAGGAAATAAATTCTGCTTTTTAATGTGGGAAAATGAAAAATGTAGGAAAATGAAATCATTAAATTTGGGAGTGTAGTATTATCTTTTCAATGAAGAGTTTGAGTGGAAAATGTCACACAAAATTTTTGTGGAGAATTTTATCAGCTACAAAAAGTATTCTCAACATTTATTTCTAAAATGAGTAGATCACGAGATAATTGGAAAATTGAAGAACAGAATTTTCTACTGAGATGTGGTCAAATGGAATCAAACACTCAGGTATGGTGGTTTAACGTTGATTCATCTTGACAATGAGTTGTTTGAGTGGAAAATGCCAATAGACATTTTCATGGGGAATTATGTAAGCGATGAAAGTTTTCCCGACATTTTTTTTCTAAAATCAGTGGATCACAAGGTCATTGTAGAATTTAGAAACTATATTTTCCACGAAATGTGAGAAACTGAAAATGATCAATTTGGAATATTTTTTTATTTGCAATAATTCTTGGAATAATTACATTGTTAATGACTGCTTTAAAGGGGAACTGCCGGAATACATTGTAATGGGAATTTTTTTTTCAGATGCAAAAGGTTTGATCAATATTTTTTCCTAGAATGAGCGGATTGAGAGATAATTGGGGAATTAACCAATAAAATTTTAAAACTAAGATGTGATGAGATGTAGTTAGATAATACACGGAGAAAAGAATACCATGAAAATTACTGTGCTAGCACGGTAAAATGGGCTCATTTGAACGGACCCGGAAAAATTTATGTGCCAGCACCAAAATTTTTCACGTGCGCTGCAGGAATTTTTCTCCGATTTCGTGTGAAAAATTCCGGTGGCGCACAGTAAAAATACCGGGCTAGCCCAGTAATTTTTCTGGTATTTTTTTATCTGTGTAAGAAATCATTTTCTCAATGTTGAATTATCTTGTTGATCAGGGGTTTGAGAGGCAAATGTCAAAAGGCATTTTTTCGCGGGAATTTCGTCAACTACAAAAAGTTTCTCCTATATTTTTTTCTAGCCCTGATAAATCAATCAGAGTCGAATCAGAGTCGACTCTGGGTTCATGGAGAAAGTACAGAGTAAAGAGCGAGAAGCTCTGGGTGTGATTCATCAGGGAGAATGAGTAGATCACTATATACACGTAGGAAAAAATTCAATGGAAAGACCTACCGAATTCGCTCGACAATTATTGTATTTCTTTAGAACTTTCTATAAGTTTTTGGCTGTTTCTATCGCCATGTTGAATGGGAAGTATTTTATAGAAAAAGTCAATAGAACGATTTTTCCGTACAACAATTGAGATATTTCCTACAGAATTTTTTCGGCTCAAATTTTCGAAATTTTGTTGTTTGATTTCCTTGGTGGTAAGAAAAGAAAGATAGAATGAAAGAAACGTGGAGGATAGAAACGGCCAAAAACTCATAGAATGTTCTGAAGAAATCCAATAATTGTCTAGCAAATTCGCTACGTTTTTCTATTGAATTTTTTTATGCATGTATTTAGTGATGTACTCGTTCTAGAAGAAATCCTGATAGATCAAACCCAGAGTTGACCCTGAGTGACAAGATTCTCCACAAAAATGGCTATTGACATTTTCCCGTCGAACCCTGCATTACTAAGATAATTCAACACTTAAAAATTATTCGAAATTGATTGATTTCATTTTATCACATTTCGGCGCAAAACGTAGTTCCTCAATTTCCCAATTATCTCATGATCTACTCATTCTAGAAAAAAATGTAAAGGAAACTTTTTGTAGCTAAAGAAATTCCACGGAGAAAATATTTACTGACATTTCCCTCTCAAACCCCTGATCAACAAGATAACTCAACATTGAGAAAATGATTTTTTATTGTCCAACTACATCTCATCACATCTCAGTTTAACATTTTGCTCCTCAATTCTCCAATTATCTCTTAATCCACTCATTCTAGGGAAAAATGTTGACGAAACCTTTTCCATCTGAAAAAATTTCCCATGAAAATGTATTCTGACACTTCCCCCATAAGCCCTTCATTCACAATATAATGATTCCAAAAATCATTCAAAGTGGAAAAATTTCCCAAATTGATAGATCCCATTTTCTCACGTCTTGTAAAAAATTTAGTTTCTTAATGCTCGTGATCCACTGATTTTAAGAAATAAATGTTGGGAAAACTTTTTGTCGCTGGCACAATTCTCCACGAAAACGTCTGTTGGCATTTTCCCCTCAAACAACTCATTGTCAAGATAAATCAACGTTAAAAAACGATTCGCGATTCTTCGATTCCATTTTTCCACAACTCAGTGAAAAATTTTGTTCTTCCATTTTCCAATCATCTCGTGATCTACTAATTTTATATAGGAATGTTGAGAATACTTTTTTGTAGCTGATAAAATTCTCCACAAAAATGTTGTGACACTTTCCCTTCAAACTCTCCATTGAAGAGATGATACGACACTCCCGAATTTAGGGATTCCATTTTCCCACATTAAAGTGCAGAATTTATTTCCTTAATTCTTCAATTATCTCATGATATACTAATTTCGGGAAAAAATGTCAAAGACACTATTGGAGTGAGCTGATTGAAACCATGCTCAATTGAAAGAACGAAAAATCCTTGTTGAAAATATTCACGGAAGGCCTATAAATTTATATTTCGTCCCTTTCGAAAGGAAAAAAACAGTCGAATACGAAAAATGAATTCTATTGATCGATCTTAAATCTACTTCTTGTGTTTTTACTACGTCCGAAGTTGCCGCTGATCTTGACATCTCCTGAGGGAAAATTATTCGACAATAAATAGAAAAAAAGGATTTCATTAGGATCTGGCATTCCAAAAACGTTCTCAGCATTAGGATAGTGTGAGTATTTGATATTTTTTTGTGATCATTCCATGGACAGTGAATTGCAAGGTTGAAAGTGAGCCTGGTTTAGTTGTTCCTTCATTTTCATATTTTCTTGTTGTGCATCGGCCGTGAGGCTCTAGTCAAATACAATGTTCATTAACGATCTCATTGTGATTCTTCAAAATTGTCAAAAAAAAAATTGTTTATTCATTCCAGAGATCTTACGATATGGGTGAACGTGCTAAATACGCAATTGTTCTCTGGGCCAGTGATCCGGGTACCGTGTCTGTGGTTCTGACGGAGAATATTGGCTGTAATAAGAAGAATGAGTTGATGGCAAAATGGGAGGGCCGATATTGGAAAATAAAAAAAGTTTTGGAAGAAAGTGGTAAGATTGCTATCACTATGTAACAGTCCGTTCTAGTTTGACATGGCGCAAAAAGCTAATAGAATTTTTCAATAGAATTACAATAGAATTTCAATAGAAATTCCAATAGCAATTCGATGCAATTTCTATTGATTTTTCATCACACTGTCTGTGAAACGTCGTTTTACGGACACTCCGTGTCCGTCAAACTCCATTTGCAGACAGTGAAGAAAAATTACGTTCGTCACTCGACCGAAAACAACTTTTCTGACTCGTGTGATTGCATTCCTCGGCTTCGCCTCGGTCTGCAACCATTCGGCAGAAAAGTTTTTTCGGTCCTGTGACGAAAATAGCTATGTCTATTGAATTTTTTCATACGTGAATATCCAATGAGAAGTGAAAACAATTATAGATTCAAAGTGACAGAATATTCACGTATGAAAAATTCAATAGAAACATTCAGTAGAATTTCTATTCGAAAATTCTATTTGTTCTTTGCGCCATTTCTATAGAAGATATTTAATAGACAAGTCAATAGATTTTTTTTCTACAGGTTTTCTTGGGCATTTTCCTATTTTTTTTCTTGGGTTTCATTATGAGAAACAATAGAAAATATAGCGGAAAAAATTTAGAAAATTTAGGCCAAAGAATTCCATAGAAAAATGAAAATCTATTGACTTCTTCATTCAATATCTCCTATAGAAATGGCGCAAGAACCAAATAGAATTTTTCAGTAGAATTCCAATAGAAATTCTATCGAATTTTTTCTATTGAATTTTTTTCATACGTGATTGGTAATGCTTTTCAGATATTTATCAAAATCATGACGATTGTATGTACCAACAAATCACATGTCTCGTGACTCGTATCTCGGGACTTATGTCCCGTGACTCAAGTTTCGGGAGGGCAGTCAAAATTCTCACAGAGTGTAAACGCGATTACTCCGAATTCGATTGTTAATTTTCGTTACATGTTATCAATCGATTTACGTATCAATTCTGGGCGAACAACTGAGTGTGGAATCCGCTAGGAAATCAATTCGTTCTTCTAGATGATCTAGACTATCTGGAAAAGAAGGACTTTTCAACGAGTGGAACACCCTGGAGAAGCAAAGGAAGACCCAAAAAAATTAAAAAAACTAGCGACTTTGAAAAATCGTTACTCTCAGCGGCAGGTCTGAGTGATGACGATGATGAAGTGACCTCCAGGGCTCGAACTTATCCTGTCATCGAGGATTCAGAGAGTGGTGTTGAAGACAGACTCCATCGAAAGAAAAGGGGCCCACTCAGAAAAAAGAGGGAGGACATTGGGAAACGTCCATCCGATAGTCATACAACGAAATCCAGCGGAGTAAGCCCAACAAGAAAAACTCATGTCACCCAAACCCCACTCACCACAAGGAAACGCCAGGCTCGAGCTCAGTATGTCGGGGAGACCACCAAGGCTGATGACGCCGATGCTGAAGAATCTGATGAGGATGAAAGTGAGAAAGAAGGAAGTGGAAAGCTGAATGACAACGAAAAAGCAGAGAAAAGCGGTCACAACGATTTAACAGAAACCTCAGCATCATCGACCCCGATTCACGAAAATACTGACGAATATGATGATATTGAGGATACTCCTCAACTAAGAGATTCTCGCAGACGTCAGGGATTGAAGTCGCCAGTCCCTAGGAAGACAACAGCTCCATCTCGACCTACAAAGGATGCAGACGCGACAAAGAAAAGTGGAGGAGTAAAAGATCATGGTGAGTCACCAACGTCAGTTCCTCAGATGAAGACAACTGCATCAACCCCGATTCCCGAAAATACTGAAGATGATGAAGATGATGATGTTGAGGACACTCCTCAACTAAGAGATTCTCGTAGACGTCAGGGATTGAAGTCGCCAGTCTCTAGGAAGACAACAGCTCCATCTCAACATACAAAGGACGCAGGAGCAGTAAGGATAGATAGAGACGTCCAAGCTCATGATGAGTCGACAAAACTTAAGCGACCAGAAAGAATAAGTCGTATTTATACTCTATCGGATGGAGAAACTGAGGATGAAAATGGTAAGATGTCACATACTCAATGGAAATAACCCTCACTTTTTCTGACATTCTTCGATCTTCTTGAGTCGTGTCTCATGACTTGTGCCTCGTGACTCGTGCCTTATACATCGCAACTTGGGCCCTGCAGCCCGTGACTGATGTCTCGTGATTTGTGCCTTGTCTCTCGTAACTCGTGACTTGTATCTCGGGTCTCGTGAGCCGTAACTCATGACTCGGGTTTCATGTCTCGTGACTCGTGTTCTCTGTCTCATGCCTAGTGACTTGTGTCCCGCGTCTCGCGCCTTGTGTTTGATGTCTCGTGACTCGTGACTCCTGTTTCGTGACTCTTATTTCGTGACTCGTGTCTCGTGTCTCGCATCTCATGTCTCGTATTCATGGCCCGCGACTAATGATCCGGATCCCATGTTTCGTATCTTCTGTCTAGTGCTCGTAACTCTCCCCACTCCAAACCTTTACCACTTCAAACCCCCCACTTCAAATTTTTGCCACTTCAAACCCCCCACTTTAACCTTCCGATTCAAATTTCACACTTCAAATTTTTTTCCACTTCAAAATTTTTTCCCACTTCAAATTTTTCCACTTCAGATTTTCCCACTCCAAAATTTTCCCACTCATTGATACCTATAATCTGACAAAATTTCAGATTTTTCGAAATTATTTGAGCCGTATATTTCTTCGATTTTCTAAAAGTTGACCATCAAGTGGACCGATTAGACCACCCGTGCATACACACATAGTCCTCAAATTTTGTATTTTTACGTTTCAGACCAATCTACATCATTTCCAGGTAAAATTAGAGAATCGAAAAATTGAACGATTTCAATGCTTCCATTCGGTAGCAAAACCGTAGATAGGGAGAATACTTCAATGTGGTTTCTGATACTTGTAGCCCTCTCCAGGCAAATTTTTAAAGTATAGAATAGACCGTCCAAGTGCTCTGAAGATCCCACCCCTGGGTATATAGGAACCTTGGCACAGTCTAGATATAGTAGGACTAGCGAGATCGTTCCACTGAAACGAGAAATGGGGGAATGTCAGTCCAATGCATAACCTAAAATTTCCCTTGAAACAAACAAAGTGTTCCTGATTTATCAATTTTTTTAATGTTGGTGTTTTCATGGAGTTTTTCATTTTGATTTTTTCAATATATGATCAACATGATCTATTCCAGAAATTCCAAAGACGGCCAAATCCAAACGCAAGTTGCTCAATGATGAAAAGGAGTATAACTTGCTTCCTCCGGCCCGAAGACGTGGACATGAAGTATGTTAGAAGAATGAAGATGAAACTGATAAAAACTCAACATTGTATAACTTTTTTTATAGATTGAAATTTATCCAAATACTGAAGTGTTTGTGAAGAAAAGATTATTGAGGCATGCCCTCCAGTACAGTGGGAATAGACCCGGTGATTTCGTGTGTTTGTTGATGCGGTTTCTTCTTGGCGAAAAATTAAAGGACATGACGGTACAGGGTGGGAAGAATAAAGAAGCGATTCCGAAGTCGGTGTATAATGCTGTGAGGTGTAAGTCCAGATGGTATTGAACATTGAAAGGGACCACTCTGTCGATATGAAATTATGTATACTTCGATGATATTGATAGCATTTCGCACATTTTGAGCCAAAAATGATCTTGATAGGGTAAAAAATGGAATCGACAAAGAAGATGAAAAAAAATGTGATTGGTTCAGATGCGGGTTATGGAGATAAATACGTAAATATCTTGGGAAATAGAATCGACAGACTGGTCGCTTCTCATACCAATGTTCACATCTAATAAATCTAATCATTGGCCATCCATTCACGAACGATACAGCTGATTGATTGACTAGTGATGCCATCAGACGAGACGAGTGAAAACGAGATGAGAAACTTTATTTTTCGTCTGATCTTGTAGACAGGAAACCCTCTTCTCGTCTCTTCTCGTATGAAAATACAATAGAAATTTCTTTTCTCATCTAGTGGAAAATTGAAACATCCTACTGTCTCGTCTTGTGTCACCTCGTCTCGCTTCATTTCATCTCTAGAATCATATCTACTCGGAAAAATATACAGGGTGTCCCAAAAAAAGTACCTCTCACGAGTACCAAACGGTCTTATTTCGGTTTATTTTCTCTCGTTATCGCGGCCGACCCTTCTCGTCTCGTTCCTGTCATTCTCTCTCCACGCAAAATTCAGATGAGATAAGTTAGATCTCCCTATGTCTAGGGGCAGTCAACAGTCTGGTCCAAAGGGACGATCGAATGGATGAGAAGGAATACAAACGGATTGTCACACAGTTGTGTACAAGGAGTCGATCGAAGAATATCAAAGAAAAAAAAACAGACGAGCAGAATAACGGTTCAGAACGTGCAGGTGTTGATGAAGAACCAACGACAGGGATACGTCAACGCACGAATAAGAACCCAGAACCTTCCAAAGCAGCTCAGAAATCGACGCTGAACACTGAAGGAGATTCGAATTCAGATCAATATACGATTCCTTCTGAACCAGTGTAAAGTCGATCAAAGAACGGTAAAGAGAAAAGACCAGACGAGAAGAACCGCAGTCCAAAACGTAGAGTTTTTGATGGTGGAGAAAAGAACAAGAACCCGAAATCTTCCAAACTAGTTCAGGAACCAAAGTTTTCTGAACCAATGACGATCAGTGACGAAGATTCCAATTCAGATCAACCCCCAAGCCCTTCTGGACCGAAATCTTCCGAACTGGTGATCATTGACGAAGATTCCGATTCAGATGAAAACCTGAGGCCTTCTGAACCAGTTCAGCGGTCTGAGCCGAAGAGGTCTGAGCTGAAAACTCCCGAACAAGCTGGGGAACTTATTGACGAAGATTCCGATTCAGATGAAAACCCGAGGCCTTCTGGACCAGCTCAGAGGTCTGAGCTAAAGAGGTCTGAGCCGAAAACTCCCGAACAAGCTGGGGAACGTAGTCCTCCACTTATTCAGAGATCTGTAGAGGAGCAAGTTCCTCAACATGAGATCCCTGTAGAAGTTGAGGGACAAGTCCTCCAACCAGAGATCCTTGAAGAAGTTGAGAAACAAGTTCCTCAACGAGAGATCTCTGAACAAGGTCAGGAAGAAATGGCTCCTCAACGGCAGACCCTTTCTGAAGAGCAGGTCATTCTAAAAAATGATGACATTTCTGGATCATCAGGGGAAAATCTAGAGAGAAACTTGAATCAAGGTAAGATGTATCGTTATGTAAGCTTGAGTCTCGTGCCTCGTACCCCGTGTCTCGTGTCTCGCGTCTCGTGTATCTTGTCTCGTGTCTCGTGTCTCGTGTGTCGTGGCTCGTGGCTCGTGTCTCGTGTCTAGTGGATGGAAATTTGTATAGTACGAAGGATCTCCAAGCTCGGGCCTCGTGCCTCGTGTCTCGTGGATGAAAATTTGTATAGTACGAAGGGCCCCCGAGGTCGGGCCTCATACCTCGTGTCTCGTGTTTCGTGTCTCGCGGATGAAAATTTGTATAGTACGAAGGGCCCCCGAGGTCGGGCATCGTGCATCGTGCTCCGTGCCTCGTATCTAGTGCCTCGTGCCTCGTGCCTCTTGAATGAAAATTTGTATAGTACGAAGGATCCCCGAGCTCGGGTTACGTGCCTCGTACCTCGTGTCTCGTGTATGCAACTCGTGTCTCGTACTTTCGGTCTCGTGTTTAGTGACTCGTGGATAGAAATCTGTGTGGTACCAAGGATCCCGAGCTCGTACCTCGTACCTCGTGTCTCGTATCTCGTATATGGAAATTTGTGCACGATGAAGGATCCCCGGACTCGAGCTTCATGTCCCGTACCTAGTGTCTCGTGCCTCGTGATTCGTGACTCGTGGATAGAAATTGGTATGCTAGGAAAGATCCGCGGGTTCGGGCCTCGTGCCCTGTGTCTCGTGTATCGTGACTCGTGGATGCCAATCTGTGTGGTACGAAGGATTTCAAGCCCCTGCCTCGTGTCTCGTGTCTCGTGTCTCGTGTCTTGTGTCTTGTGACTCGTGACTCATGTCTCGTATCTCGTGGATGGGAATTTGTATGCTACGAAGGATCCCCGGTCTCGTGCCTCGTGTCTCGTGTCTCGTGGATGGAAATTTGTATAGTACGAAAGATCCCCGAGCTCACACTATGATTGCTAATTCCACGTATATATTCCAACATGGCTCGCCAGAAACCAGAACATAACATTTGTAGATGAAAGGCAGAACGATCAGGCGACCGATAACAGCAATGGAAGTGGGAAAGGGGTGAGTAGGCCCAGCAAAGCACAGGACACGGGAAACTCCCCTAAGAACGAAGGGCGGAGTGCCAGAAAGACAGAAGATGGATCCAGAAATACAGATAGAATTAATAGTAGAGACTCAAGGCAAAACGAGACGAGAGACAGAAGCAGGAGGGATAGAAGCAGAAGCCGGAGAGATAGTAGTAGAAGCAGGAGCAGAAGCCGGAGAGATCGTAGTAGAAGCAGAAGCAGAAGAGATCGAAGCAACAGCCGACTCGAGTGGAGAGGAGGAAGTCATGCGAGAGATATCAGAAGTCGGGATGATTTTCAGAGATATCCCACATCTTGGAATAGGGGGAGAGAGAGATATCCTGCATTTTGGAATAGGGGGAGAGATGGATATTCCAATAGACGATATGAACCGAGGCGTTGAGGTTGGTTGCTGGTCGTTCGTAGCACTTACAACTAGTATGAATTATGATATGCACACGTCGGAAGATGTCATTTTTCATTGTAGTAACTGCTGATTCCCTTCCTCGGTTGAATGGTTATTTATAAATCTTTTTATACATTTCAGCATCATTTGAGGAGCGGAAGAAATTTAACTAGAGACCCCGCCTGAAGTCAATCCCGTCGATCCGGGCTAGTTAAAGGTCCTCTTCATAGTCCTGCTCTTCTTGGAACTCCCATTGAAGTTTCGTTTTTGGGAGACTTCGAATTTGTAAAATTTTGCAGTGTTCGGGTGTAAACGTTCGGAAATTTCTAAGTTATCGATTTTTATCTCTGGAAATTTTTAAGAGGAAAATTTCGGAATCGAGAGTGTGAAAGTTTGAAAAATTCATAATTTGAAGTTGCCAATCTCGGTTTTGGAAGTTTGAAGTTCGAAATTCTGGAATGGAAATTGTAAAATCGAAAGGCTAGAAGTCGATCATTTTGATTTGAAAATGTCTGAAGTTGTGAATTTTGGAGTTCTAAAGTTGAAAATTTCAAAACAGAATATTTTGGAGTTGTAAATTCTCCAATTGTCAATTTCAAAGTGAAAAATGACGATATTCCAAACTTTGATGTTGAAAGCTTGGAGTGTGAGGTTCTGAAGCTGGAAATTTCCAACTAGAAACTTCTAAGTTGAAGCTTTTTGAGTTATAAGTTTTGGAGTTGACAATTTTGAAATAAAATAGTTCGTTCTAAAAATTTTGGAAGTTAAAAGTTTAAGTTGTCATTGTGGGGTTGAAAATTTTGAATTTGATCTAACCTGACCTAACCTGACTCAACCTGAGGGAAAATTGCAAAGAAATCACCGTCAGCATGTGAAGATTGATGCCGATCAAGTATCAAGAGCCGAGCGATAGAGAATGAAACCTCCACCACTGATCCGTATGTTCTTTAATTAATGTCCCCAATTTTAGTTTAAATCAGCAATCAATAATATTAGCAATAATAGAGGAAATTCTCTATCTGAATGATTGGTGCATACCACTGTCTTCCAAGTAAACGGAGCATTTTAAAGTGAGCTTGGTTCTGAATCTTTACTCAATTTGGAAGTGAGTTGTTTATGATTTGTAAGCGCACTGCAAATCATACCAACTGACTTCCGAGTTGATGAATTTTCAAACTTCAAAAGACCATAAAGGTCAGAAATAGACTGAACACCGTGCGTTTGGAAAGTAAAATTTATAACCGTTTTGTTATACTTTTACGCTCAATTATCGTCAGCCTCTTCACGCCAATCCTTTCCAGCTGTGGACTGTTACATAAGATTATGGTGGTGTTGTGCTCAAACTGTACTGTGTGCGCATCTGGGCCTTCCTTATGGCGTACTAATACATTGAGAGGCTTCCTACTTCTCTCATACCGGGACGATTCGAGACTTTTCTTGTTCAAGGGATTAAATCATGTGCCCCGCTGAAACTTGTTGACATTCGCCGCTGAATGCTATTTGAAACTCAATGCTGAAATTCTGTTATCAGTGTTTGGATATCTTTATTGCGTGCCATGATCACAGTAATTTCTGTTTAACACAAGAACAGTAAGATTATCATGGAGAAAAAATATAGAAGACAACGATGTCATGCCAACTAGAATGGCTGAGGGCACCGTGTTATGACGTTTCTCTACTTCAGTTATTGATGGAAGATTCACGATTCCTTCATCCTGTTAGTACACCATTGTTATCGTTTTCATCGGTGATTAGTTGCAATCTTACATCAATCGGAACACCCATGAAATAAGCTTAAGAAGGTTATATCGAACGTTATATCGACCTTTTACTGTCGAAATCAACAAGCGTCGCTTAAAGGTCATTATTATGAGAGTGAAATTGGGGTGGAATTCTAAAATCTACGGGGTATGATATAATTCGTTTTAATCAATCGGATAATGACTGAGATTGCTACGAAATTGAGACAGTCTTAGAACATTGATAGGTCAGGACACAATTTCATGTTACATTGGAAGCTATGAGTGTTTCTCAACTCTCAGTGTTTAAAGCTCATAAGTCATGCGCTAAAATTCTCATGTCTGAAAAAATTTCAGACAGACCTCTAGCAGAAATTTGAGCAGGACTCGAACAAGTTCTCTAGTGTAGCTTTCAACAGACAATGAGAAGGGCCACTTGAGGAGAACCTAGAGTAGAACTTCTGACGAGATGTCGAGCTGGAACTTGATGAGAACTTCAGGGAAGAATGAGTCTTCCATTGGGAATTTCAACTGAACATAATCTGGGACGTCCAAGAGAACCTGGGCGAGAGTTCCAGGAGAGATTTCCATTGTACCTTCGACAGGATTTGAAGGGGAACCTTCAGAAAGACTTTAGACGCAATTATTACCACAACTTTCTGCTGCACCTTTGGCACGATCTTTGAAGTCAGAATTCTGTTCAAGATCCTGCTGGAAGCTCTGCTGCAGGCCCTTGATATTTTTGAAGGTCTTGAGTAGTGAGGTTCGGAGACTGAGAGATGAGAGCATATATGTAGGTATCCACATGAAAAGCTCTTTTTCTCGAATCTAGATTCCAAAATATTCATGTTTCCCTCTGTACACCTTCCATCTAACAGGAATCCAAGATATTCATGTTTTCCTCCCTATACTTCCCATTCAACCCCCTGACGAGAACGCTTCACTACCACACACAAGCCCAAGCAGGCTTGTCCGTAATCCCACTCCCGTTCACGGCGAGAGGATTTGGTAGCAGTGTTACCAGATCGTGATGTCACCCCATTTAAAATTGTACAGGTTTTGGCTATAAACCGCCAAAATCTGGCAACCCTGTTTGGTAGAACTAGTTGTCGAATTCTG